CCCCAAAACCCCAAAACCCCAAAACCCCAAAACCCCTTAATCCCAACTGTAGTCAGATTGATATCAATATGATTTTAGTTGTTAATTTGAAATCAAAGAATTAAATTTTGAAATCTTCTTATGGAAAGTAAAATTAACGTTACCGTCAGGATAAAGCCACTTTCCGAGGCTGAAAGGCAGCAAGAAAAAAATAATGTCTGGTCCTAGATTGGGGATAACACGGTCTTCAATTAGAGAACTAAAGAAATGTTCAGTTTTGACAATGTCTTTGGAGATGGGGTGTCTACTCAGGAGATTTTTGACTCTCAAGTAAAGGAAATGGTGAATACTGCAATGGAGGGAATTAATGTCACTGTCTTCGCCTACGGTTAGACATCTAGTGGCAAAACTCATACAATGAGAGGTACGGACAAGTACCCTGGCCTGATACCTCTCTCAATCAGGCAAGTATTTGACTTCATGGATTAAGACAAGGGCAGAGACTATCAAATATCAGTAGCATATTTGGAAGTAAGTGAGACTGAAATTTATACTTCTGATCACTTTCATTTTCTTAAGAAAAATATTCTTGATCTTCTCTACATATTTTACACCGATTACTAAACTTTGTTTAGATATATAATGAAACGTTGAATGACTTGATAGACAATAACAATAAGAACTTGGAAATCAGGGAAAGTATCTCGAAAGGTATTTACATCAACAGATTGAAAGAGTGCGAAGTCACCACTAAAGAAGAAGTTATTAAATATATGGAATAGGGAGAGTAATCAAGAATAATTGCTGAGACTAAACTTAATGAATAGTCAAGCAGATCTCATACTGTCTTTAGAATCAGTGTGACTTCAAAACCATTTGGAGGTAAAATTTTCTCAAGTAAATCAAGTGTATAGATGAAACTAAGATAAGAATGTCCTAACTAAATTTAGTAGATTTGGCTGGTAGTGAGGGGGCTAGCAGAACTGAAACGCAGGGAATTAGGCTGAGAGAGGGTTCTAATATCAATAGGTCTCTATTGGCTCTGTCTAATGTTATCAACAGATTAAGTCAGGCTAATAGTGGAAAGGCGTTTATTAACTATAGAGATTCAAAGCTTACCAGAATATTGCAGACTGCTCTGGGAGGTAATTCTAAGACTGCTATAATATGCACAATGACATAAACGATCAGTAACTATTAGGAGACTCTGAATACTCTACATTTCGGCTAAAAGGCTAAGCATGTAAAGACTACTGTGAATGTCAATGAGATAAGTCAAATATCAGGGTCATTTGGTCCAGAGATGGAGAAAGCCCAAAAAGAAATTACTGATCTGAAGACTAAGCTTAAGGATTATGAAAACAAGATTATTGAGATGCAAAGTGCAAGCATCAGTAAAATAGAACAACAGAATTCTAATTTAATGATTATCGATACTTCCACTGATAAGCTAAATATGAGCATGCAATCTCAATCATTGACTCACAAGGACAATGACTTCACAGTAATATTTCTTAAGGATTAGTTGAAGTTCCTCACAGATAAAGTTAAGAAAGCAACTACTGAGTTAGAAGACAAGGAGAGAATAATATAAAAATTAGAGCATGAAAAAAGAGAGTTTTAGCGAAACTTTGAAACCATTGAGCTGGAAAACTTCTAGATGTAAGAAAAACTCAACTCTATGTCCCAAAATTAATCCTTAGTAATAAAGCAGAATGCTCTGACTAACTCTTCAAGCCTACCAAATGATTGCTTCAAGACGCCCAGTATCAATAGACAGTAAAATAGAAGAGTCTTAGAGGAAGACGGGATTCAATGCTTCGACCTGGATAATAACTCATTAAGTCTGAATGGAGATAGTGATTTACTAAGAATGTCTATCGGAGCTGGACTGCATAATTAAATGAACATGAATAATAACTTCATGAATCATCAAATCTAAAATAGCGGTACCGAGATCAATGAATAGCTAAAGATGTGGTAAGAGTTAGAGAAGCAAAAGAGAGAAAATGAAAATCTCCTCATCTAGATTGAGTAATTTGAAAGTGATAGAAAAACTACATTCGCTGACAGAGGTAACATTATAGAAATAATTAATCGTATATATTTATAGAAAATTATATAGCTTTGAAAGATGAATTAGAGATGCTCAAGGAAGAAATGCTTATCAAAGAGGAAGAACTGTAAAAATATCAAAGACATGTCGGTTCTATCTCTGATGAGGTAGGTATATTTAGGGATTTTATAATGAATCTATAGCTTAAATTCTATAAAGATTAGAATAACGATCTTTTAAGAAGATTAGATGATTTTGAAAAGACAATAGCATCAGATATAGAAAATGCTAGCGTAATTATTTACAATGAGGCATAAATGTAAATTTAGATTTTATAATATCTAATCTAAAGTTCTAGAGACTCTAACTAAATGATTAAGGATGAAAATGCGATTTTAAAGTAGCAAATTACCAAGCTCAAGGAAGAAATTAAGACTATTGAGCTTGAGAAGTTAAGATAGGAGAATATCAAGACTGAATTAGAGTATAATCATAGAGCTTCTGAATACAATGTGGAGATTCTGAAAAATCAAATAGAAAATCTAAATAATGAGATCGCTTTAATGAGGAGATAGAATGAGAAATAGAAAAAGACTATTGACATCATAAGAGCAACAAACGAAAGACTATCATAGGATTTAGAGCATTACAAGAAGCTATCCCTTAAGCAATACAAAAAATCAGCCAACTCGATAAATCCTAATGCCAATAATTAAGGACTCTAATCTGGGTATAATTCTTCAACTGAAGGTCCATAAAGAGATTCTTTCTCTGCCTTAATGCCTCCTCCCTCCATAGTCTATCTCCCTTAGCCACATCCTGATACATCAATCTAGGAGATTCAAGTTAATCTAATTGACGTTAGATAAATTGAGGCAAAAGACTCAGAGATTCAGAAGCTTTAAACAGATATTGATGAGAGAACTAGAAAGATTGATGATATGGAAAAGCAACTATTAGTCTTAAAGGATTCTAAGAATATGAGTGAGACTGAGTAAATAAAGAAAATGAGATTTGATAATCAGATACTCATGAACAAGCTCAGTGAATACAAGAAAGCTGAGAAGGGGGCTAAGGAAATAGTTAATGATTATGAGTAAATGAAGATGAAATACTTCAATGTCTTAACTGAAAACTCAAATTTAAAGTCTCAAATATAGGAGCTTATATAGAGCAAACTTGACAACGAAATGCAGATCAAGCAGCTGAAGCAAGAGCATGATAATTTGATAGATGAACTCTATTCAGCTAGAATTGATAACAAAAAGAAGGCTGAAGAAATATCCAAAAGACATCAGTAGATTGAACTTCTTAATGAAGAGTTCCAGATAATGATGAAAAAATCACAAGAGCTAGCCCAAAAAGAGAAAGAAATATCTTAGTTACAATATGACATCGAAGCTTTCCTTAAATTTTTCACCCAAGTCGACAAGCATCTCCGTACCTTGATAAAATTCTTAAGAGACTCCATTGCTAAATGTACAGATCCTAAGCTAATTGAGCACAATTAAAAACAAATCAAGGGAATAGAGTGTTTGCTAGATGAGGTTAAGAGGGCAATAGCCAACAAAGAATACCCAGGAGAGACGAGCAGACTCATTGAGAGTCTATTTTTATTATCAGCTGAGAGTTTGAAGGATGTATAAACTTCAGCCATGCTATCTGATAAGGAGCGAATTTTTGGAAATGAAATCAGCGAAAATATTATTAAGCAGCATAATAACAAAAGGAGAAAGTTGGTCCTTGACTCTGAATCAGAAGCAGTCCTTAGAGAAAGTAAATTATTATAGGAACCTGTTCCAAAAGAAAACAGATCAATCCTCAGTCAACATCATGAATCAAGATAGAAATATCCATTAACTTAGCCATTCATTCTAGAGAGTGCTGATGAAGATGGAACTATCTAACTGGGGAACTTAGATGGAAGCAAAAAGAAGAGATTCAGTAAGCAAGGAGATAAAGCCTTCTCTTACAAGAAGATAGAATTTGACGGGATTAGAAGAAGCGAAAGAATTAAGGATAAAGGAGGAATGACTGAATCTGACTGCTATTGAGAAGATGTTGGACAGGACATCTCATTTGAAAAGCCTATTGCATTTTCATTTACCTATAATTAGAACACTTGTTGATATATTCAAGATACTCAATTTTAATAATGACCTAATTAGAAAGCTTAATTGCATATTAAAAAGTTTCAAGATCTCATGCTATTTCACTATATCGGGGTTTTGGGGTTTTGGGGTTTTGGGGTTTTGGGG